AGACCATATATTTGTCCTTTTGTGATTGACTTAATTAACTGAGCATAATGTATTTGATGTTTATCCAAGTTGTAGCATGTCTGAGAACTTCACTTTTCTTTAAGGCTCTAGTATTCCATTGTGTGTATGTACCACAATTTGTTTTTCCATTCATATGTTGATGGACACTTGGGCTATTTCCACCTTTTTTGCTATTGTGAATAATGCTGCACTGAACATTACTGTCCTTATCTATTCACATCATTACTTTTAGGTTCCTAGGGTATATACCTAGGAATGGAATTGCTGGGTCATATGGTAGTTCCATTTCTAATTTTTCAAGAAATTGCCATACTGTTTTCCACAATGGTTGTGCCATTTTATATTTCTACCTACAGTTAATAAGGGTTCTGATATATCTTCATCAACATTTCTTTTCTGGTTTTTCAGACATTACCATGCTAGCAAAGATTAGGTGATATATCATTGTAATTTTTATTTGCATCTCTCTAATGGCTAATAATTGAGCCCTGGTTCACAATGGTTAAAGCTCTACACTGCATACTAGAAGTCAGCGGTTCTAATCCACCAGCCATTCTTGGGGAAAGATGTCATGGTCTACTTCTGTAAAGATTTACAGTCTTGGAAACCCACTGGGGCAATTCTGCTCTTTTCTATAGGGTCACTATGAGTCAGAATTGACTCCATACCAATTAGTTTGGTTTTTGCAGTGGCTAGTAAAGGAGCCCTGGTAGTGCAATGGTGAAGTGCTTGGTTGCTAGCTGAAAGTATGGCGCTTTGAACCCACCAGCCTTGCAACCTGCTACTGGAACAATTAAAAAATACCAACTTGTTGGCCAACAAGTCACTGTGAATCAGAATTTACTCAACAGCAGACACACACACACACACAAACAATGACTGAAGATGAGCATCTTTTCATGTGTTGGCTGCTTGACTCTCCTCTTTGATGAATTGTCTCTTCATGTCCTTTGCCCATTTTTGATTGGATTATTTGTCTTTTTCTTGTTAGGTTTTGTAAGTTTTATATATACTTGGATAATAGATACTTATCAGATATATCATTCCTGAAGATTTTTTCCTGATCTGTAGATTATCTTTTTGCTCTTTTGATAGTCTTTTGATGAATACAAGTATTTAAATTTTATGAGGTCCCACTTGTCCATTGTGCCTTGTGCTGCTCATGCATTTGTACTTGTATTTGAGTCAGGCCTAGAATCTTAAGTGAAATATGAGTGAAATGTGGGCAATAAGCACGTAGGATTATCTGTGTCAGAGATCACAGGATTCTTGACTAATTAGGAGTTGGCAGCTTTGCTGTCAGCCAACCAAGGATAGAGAACGAATGAAAGGAGCAAAATATTTACCACAGAGGGGCTAGAAATTTATGCCAGTGGATCTCATTGTATATCAGAGTCACATTGAGGGTCTATTGAAACAGAGTGTGGGGCTCCACCCCAGAGTGTTTGATTATATGTGTCTGGGGTGATTTTTTTGTTGAGGTGTCAATTCTGACTCGTAGAGACCCCATGTATTACAGAGTAGAGCTGCCTTATAGGGTTTTCTTGGCTGTAATCTTTACAAAAGCAGATTGTGAGGTCTTTCTGCCATGGAGCCACTGGTTGGCTTTTGAACCAGTAACCTTTTGGTTAGCAACCAAGCACTTAAACATTGTGTCACCAGGGCTCCAATATCTTGGATAGAGCCCAAGAGTTTGCATTTCTAATGAGTTCACAGGTGATGCTGAGGCTACTTGTCTGGAGACACATCTTGAGAACCTGTGAACTAAGAGAAAGGCCATTGGCCCAGGATGCAGAAGCACTGAGATTTTATCAAGGTTTTATCCCTAAGAAGTGTTTCCCTGAAAAAGTCCCTTCATCTAAGTTCTATTTCTCGGATCTGTAAAATGGCCATGTTGTTGTTGTTGTTATGTGCTGTCGAGTTGGACCCGACTCATAGTGATCCCTCCTTGGGTTTCCGAGGCAGTATCACTACAGAAGTAGATTGCCCAACTTTCCTTCCGAAAAATGGCTGGTGGGTTTGAACCACCAACTTCTGGTTAGCAGTCAAGTGCCCTAGGCACTATGCTAAAATGGCCATAGGATGAACTAAATGAGCTATTAAGGCTATTTTGGGTCTAAATTGCTATACTTGAATGATAGCTACAATTTATTGAGCTTTTACTCAGTGTTATCCCCTGTATTGAGTGCTTTATGTGATTTTGCTCATTGAACCATCACCAAAATTGTATGAAGTAGGCATTATTATTATTATGCCACTACAAATGAAACTGAACCTTGACCAGAGTCACACAGAGAGGACCTGGCAGATCTAGGGCTTGAACATAGGTTGATTTGGCTCTGGAGCTATTTAAAAAAAAAAAAAAAAACACCTCACTGCTGTTGAGTTGGATACAACTCATAGTGACTCCTCCTTGGGTTTCTGAGATGGTATCACTACTGAAGTAGATTGCCCATTCTTCCTTCCGAGGAGTAGCTATTGGGTTTGAACCGCCAGCCTTCTACTTAGCAGTCAAATGCCTTAGGCACTACGCCACCAGAGCTTTGAGGTCATGTCTCTGTGACCACTACTCTCTACATTCTAGATGGAGAACACCATCAAACAGTCTGAGAATGACCTAAACAAGCTGCTAGAGTCTACCCGGCGGCTGCATGATGAGTATAAGCCATTGAAGGAACATGTGGATGCCCTGCGCATGACCCTGGGCCTGCAGAGGCTCCCTGACCTATGTGAAGAGGAGGAAAAGCTCTCCTTGGAGTAAGCTATCTGCCTCCTGTCCCTGCAACACACACACACAGACACACGCACACATATGCATACAGTCATGCATACACCCACCAAGCCTGTCTGGAAAGTCAGGGTACCTGGTCCTAGCCCTAGGCTTGTCAGTGGCTGACTCATTGCATGACCTTGGGCAAGTTTTTACTGACCTGTTATATCAGAAAATGGATGATTAGACTAGAATTATTAGATGGTTTCTTAAAGTTCTTTTGTGATTTTAACAATCTCAGACAATGTCTGTGAGTCTTAAGAGCTCACTTCCTAAGTCAGGGTCTAGAAGGCTTGTCCAGAAACTTTGAGAACAGAAAGCTGAGCTTACATGGTCTCTGGGGGCTAGACTGAAACTTCATATTATGATCCCCAGAAGTAAGATCTACATCTAACTTACAGAGAGAGAAATTTCACCTCAGTAGAAGGAAGCATTTTCTAAAGGTAGAGCAGGCTGTTTGTGGAGGTGGTGAGCTTTATATTCATAGAAGTATGACAGCAGAGGCCTAAAGATGCTTAAATAGGAATACTGCAAAAGAGGTCAAAGTATGGGATAGACATGAAGATTGAATGCCCTTTTGAGGACCTGGCCATCCCTGGGATTTCTTGATCTGGCTCCGTCAGAAACAAGGAGCATGATGATTACGCTTCCCAGCAAACAGTGAGCCTGGTACCCAGGGAGAAGAGCCTTGTGCTCAGGAGGGTAGAGGAACTTTCTGTAGTGAGCCACAGTCCAACCCTTGGTTCTGTGGCATGGAGTCCTTAAAAGGGCCAAAGTTCCTCTTGCTTTCAGAATGATCCAGCCAATGTCTCTCATCTCCAAAGTTACTTTGAGAAGCAGAAAGCAGAGTGGCAGACGGAGCCTCAGGAGCCCCCCATCCCTGAGTCCCTGGCCGCTGCTGCTGCCGCCGCCCAACAACTTCAAGTGGCTAGGAAGCAGGACACTCGGCAGACAGCCACCTTCAGACAACAGCCTCCACCTATGAAGGTGAGTGAGCTGGGCATGGGGTGTGAAAACAAGGTATCTTAAGGCAGGCCCATGGAAGGCTGTGTCTGATGCTTTGGCCTTACTAATTTGGGACCTTCCTTAAACAGCCTTTGCCTAGGACACAAGACAAGGCATAGCATGGGTGTTCTGTAATGAACCCCACCAGTTTTGTTGCCCCACACCTCCAGAGAATTTAGAATGCTAGGAGATTGGCAGCCCCTACTAAAGTATAATTTTCAAACAGTTAAAAACATGACTCATACAAATATATAGTGAGCATGTGTCATTAATGAGGAAACCAACAGTATTATATGGCTGGTTCCAAGAACATTAGATGAATAGATATTTAAATAGTCAGGAAAGGAAAGGAATGCTCAAATAACTTTGCAAAGTTAGGTACAGAACTGTTAATGTCCTAAACCAGTTGCCATTGTGTCATTTCCTACTCATGTATGTCAGAGAAGAACTGTATTCCATAGGGTGTTCAATAGTTGAGTTTTTTGGAAGTAGATCATTGGGCCTTTCATCCTAGTCACCTCTGGCTAGTCTTGAATCTCCAACTGTTCAGTCAGCAGCATAGTGCATTAACCATTTGCACCCAGGGGATTCTGATTTATATCTTACAGGGCAATAAAAGTATTCTCTTCATGGTTATCTGTTTGGAAAATCAGATTTGCATCTATTCTGGGCAAAAACTAGTTTACTCAGAGTTTGGGCCTTCAAGACTGAATAGCAAAACAAAGCAGTGTTCTCCTAGAGCAGGACTCTCAGGCCAACTCTGACCTGCTTCCTGATTTTGTAAAGTTCAGTTGATACATATCCATGCCCATTTGTTTAAGTGTTGTCTATGGCTTCTTTCACATAAAATGGTAGATTTGAGTAGTTATGACAACGGTCATATGACCTGACCCAAAGTCTAAAATCTTTACTGCTTTGCTGTTTACAAAAAAATTTACTGAGCCCTTTTGTAGAGAACTAAATAATCCTTGGGTTGGCCTATTAGATAACACTTCAGTATAATACTGAATGGATATTCAATCCTCATTTTGCCTTATTTCAAAGTTTTGGATACTTTTTTTCTCAACACCCTCTCTAACCTGGGTTATATCCCTCACTCCCCTATTCTATGGCCCCCCAAAAATACTGATCTCCCTCCTTGAGTCTCACTCAATGATTACTGCTCCCTCCTAATGGGAAATCACAATTGCTTTCTGGACCCCTGGGCTCAGCCATAGCCTAAAAGAATCTCATCACTAACTTTCTTTGTCCTGTACCCCTCCACTAGGCCTGCTTGTCATGTCACCAGCAAATTCACCGAAATGCACCCATATGCCCTCTGTGCAAAGCCAAGAGCCGGTCCCGGAACCCCAAAAAGCCAAAACGGAAGCAAGATGAATGAAGAAAGGGAGAGAGAGCTCTGCCGCTCATAACCCTTCCCTTGGCCAGAGTGATTGATGTCCTGACGTGAAACCACCCTTTCCCAATCTCACCAAATCTCCTATTTAATGTCAAGGAAACACAACTCCTCTCACTTTGGCCTTCTTTCTTTCTGTTCTTGGGATATCTGATGTAAGAAGAGATATGGTTCAGGTCCTGATGAGTGTGTCTGATGACCCCTTCTCTCCTACTGTCATCTCAACCCCTCCCCTTGTTTGGAGCTAAGGGAGAGATAGAAGGCCCAGATGTGATTCTCTGTCTCTTGTGCCTGAGGCCTGTGGCCTAAGGAGAGGCTGAGGGCTTGGGGGTGGGGGGCATATCTTCTTCCAGGTGAAGGCTCTAATGTTCCCCGTCCCTGTATTTTTATTTTTTCTTAGACTCTGAAGGAACTTGTTGTACTTCCCAAGAGGCTTGGTGCATATATCTCACCCTACCCTCATCTCCTCCTT